CGAGCCCAGCCCTGGTCTCATACTTCCGACCGAGCACAGCCCTGGTCTCATGCCTCCGACCGAGCACAACCCTAGTCTTACAGGCGTAATGAGGAGATTACCCCAACGGGGTCCGTTCTATAACTACGGGGATAACCGTTCGACGGTCGGTACAGCTCACATCGAAGGCTACATGATCCACATGCATACTTTGATCATACCACAAGTAAACAATAATAACATTTACAGCATAGCTAATTTCTCAAATAAAATCCACCTGATATCTGGAGAAATACGGAGTCACAAAAATCGAGAAAAAGGTAGGTCAAGAACACAGCTCGTCAAACACCTATATTTTATAAAAATAGTCCTATAAATGACTATTCAATATATACACACTCATAACTACATTCATGCGATTCAACTTAGTCCACATGTTCACATAAGCATGCATGCAAAGCGAACACTTCAATTCCGAACACATAATGCGAGTTTTTCAAAACTCAACCCATGTAGCGTTTTTAAAATCGACATAACTAACAACACAAAATTCATATGATCATGATTCAAGTCTCAAATTAAACCTAAGGCATGCATCAACAACTTTAATGAAGACATCGAAAACAATCAAAGTCGTCTACCAGGAGATTATTCATCAAACATATAAAATCGAGTTGCAGACCACCATTTAAATTTAACATCTGACAGGACCTCAGTATTTGCAAGATAGGTGAAGCTACAGACCTCAAAATGACTTGATTAAAAAACTAACATATAGTTAACTCGATTATTTACAACTTTGCTGAAGATCACATTGACATATAACAACATTAACAATAGATTTAAACACAAAACATGCGGTTCATGAAATCTGTCATAAACAAGTTCATGCTACAAACAGCACCTCAGTAAATCGACTCCAACTCATGCTACAGAGCTCCTATCAACATCCTACCTTATTAGAAAGCTACGAAAAAGACCTATAACTTTCATGAGATCACTTTTGCATTTGAGCACATTAAGGCATGATAAACAAGTCAGACATAAAATAGGTACATGTTGCTGGGTTTTATTAAAATTTGCTTGCGCGACAATTTTATAAAAATCATAACTTATTCTTTTCAAATCGAAATCACATGATTCCAAAAACCAGAGAAAGTCAACATCAGATAACAAGTTCCTGAGAGCTAAAATCAAGGCACAACAGAGCAGCAGATATCACCATAATTCATGACATATACAAATCGAAAGGAGTCCGACTTCAAACAAAGATTCGATATAACGTATGATATATGTATCTAACATGTGATATACGAGTGCGACCGGAATAACGAGAGGGTTCAAAATTTTTACCCGTCTTCGAGAATCTACGAGCTATCAAAAAGAAAAAGGGTCGGACAATGGGTCGAAGAAGGCTGTCGGTGGCTCGGCAACTGCGTGGCTCGCGGGCGGTGTCTCGGTGCTGTTGGTCGCGAGTGGTCGAGAACCGAGAACAAGCTGGGGACCTCGGTTGCTCATGAACATAGGTCGGGCTCGCTGGTTGCCGTTCGGGACACTAAACAAAGACCGACGGGGGTGCTGTTACCGGCTTTCAGTGATGGGAACACCACTATTGTCCAGTGATCGAAGATGCTGCTACTCGGCTCTCGGGATGGGAAACTGCTGCCATTAACGAGTTGCAAACCTCCCGATGTGAAGGATTATAGTAACAGGAATCCGCTGCACGCCGGCGAGGAGGAGAAGATTGATTCGAAGGGAACGCATAAGGCTCGCTAAGACCTTACCTACGGGATGTGTACATGAATCACTCAACTATAAAGAGTATGTTTTGTAGTTCAAGTAGCAATTCCTTTCTCTGCTTCTTTGGACGTTTCAGCAGATTCATTCTGCTGCAAGCCTTTTTCTTACGCAATGATCGGAAGAACTCTCTTCAACTGCCCATGATTGATTCATCTAAAATCATTCCCTCTCTACTAGACATTCCACAAAGCTCGCATTTTCTTCTTGCTTCTTTTTTATATATAGATGACGAGAGGGATGAGAAGAGAACGACGAGAGAGATAAGCTTTCTCCTTTTTCTGCTCCGATGATCGCGTGAAAGACGAGAGAGGTTAGGGTAGCGGCGTGTGATATGAGAGGAGAAGAGGATTTCCTGATTTTTATAAGTACAAGACTTGCCAGCCAAGAAATGAAAAAGGGTCGGTCTGAGCGGGTTTCGGGTCGCAGCTTCGGTATTCTCTTGGCTCGACTTAGATTAAACAGTTTGGTTCGATCGCACGATGAAATAAATGTGTATAATATATATATTATACACATTAACTATTAATAATAATAGGCAATTAATAACAATTAGGCAATTAATAATAATAATAATAATAATAATAATAATAATAATAATAATAATAATAATAATAATAATAATATTGACATAAAATAATAATCCGAAATAATCCTTAAAATCCAATAATCGAACGGATTAATCTGAACTACGCGATTAAACCGAAATCGCCGAACGACGAACGTTTAAAAATAAAATGATTGAGTACTTAAACACATAATTTAAGTACCTCACGACTAATACAACAAATATAATCTCATAAATAAAAATCGATAAATAGAATAATCCGAGAAATTCTTTAAATCGAACGGGACCTTACAACAAATGTATCCTTCGGGTTACTTGTTGCAACCTAATTGGGATCCGGGTTTCAAAGCATAGGGTGAGAGAGGGATACCCGAAACTGGCCACATTCCCACAATGAAAATATCATTGGTGACGTGGCGAAAAAATCTTCAGCCTTCACTTCCTCAAATTCCTCGTGTGTTTCGTGCTTTCTCTAGGCCTCCAAAAGTGTCAAAAGTCTCGAAACCGTGTTCTCCAAGTTCCTTCTATACTGTAGGGAAATTATGGATCGAAAAAGGGAAGAAATCGCATAAGAATCCTAATTTCCGCTGATGTGTCTACGCATCACACGACTCGTGTCACATGCCACATGAGTCGTGTGACTTTTCTCCAATTTTTTGCCAACCTTCCAGACTCACACGACCCCTCATACGACCAGCTCACACGCCTCGTGAGGTCACACGACTCGTGTCACTAGACACACGAGTCGTATGAAAAAACCGTAGCCAAATTCTCGTTTATTCCATGACACACGACTCGTATCACTGCCCACGCGAGTCATGTGTCTTCATCTGCACCTCGTTTTTACCGTTTTTTGTCTCGATTCCATTTTCAACGCTTTTCCAGGCATATTTCCTGCAATCAACGATAAATGTACCTCTATCATAGATTAATAAATAAAACAAAATGGTGCACAATCCCACGATAAACACGGCTAACTATCTCAATATAGCACTCATAATGCATGAAAATATGATGAATGTCACCTAATGATAGGCCATGTCGTTGAGTGTTGTTATAGACCTTCGGCATGTACTCCCATTGTTGAGTGTTGCTACAGACCTTCAGTGGCTTTTACAAGTGTGCACATGAGAATTATATGATAATTAGGAGATGTGATATTATGATTTATTCATGTTCATGTTGCGACCATACATATCTGTCATTATAAGCGATTTATGTGCATAGTGAGCAAGTGGAAAGCTCACTCCCATGACCCCCCCCCCCATTTCAGGTTGTGCAGTTGGCAGACATGGCAACGAGGAGACGAGTGGTTGGTCTGCATGTTATTGTTTGTTTCTTCCGCATTTAGTGATGAACTTGTTTTATGATAAACTTGTTGATGTTTTTCAACCAATGATGTTTTGGAAAATTATTGATGTACATGTTGATATGTTTGGTACTTGATAAATTGTTTTGAAAACCCGATGAGTATGGTTTATTATTATGATTTGAAACTTGATGACTTGGTTTGATTTTATATCTGTGATGATGATATATCTATGATGATGATCTGGTATGATGTAATGAGTATGATGTTTGGATAATGATATCCCTTGCGAAAATTCGAGTAATGAATCCTCGTCAGGTCAGATACAACTTGAATTGTTTTATGAAATGAATGAGTAGCTCCTTTAAATGTTTTGAAATCGAAAATTGAATTCCGACAATTTAATTGTGATTTTTGAATGAGCCATGAATTATTCTTTAAAAATCGACAGGGTGTTACAATGTCAATCTAATGATTAGATCGACCTAATGAAAGATTTATCGTTTCCGCGATAGTTGTAGTTAGGCACATAACATTACACATTTGTGCACAAGGTTGACAAATTTGCAACTATGAAAACCTAAATACATGTATTAGGCTAAATGCACTTACTCAAGATAAAAACATTTTTCAAACAACCCACGCCCCAATTGTATTCTCTTCAAGTAGGTATATCCAAAAGAAAAGGTATTTTCCTCCCTTCTTTTATCCTCCATGATTGTGCTTGACTATATCGAGTTGGAGAGTTTCAAAAGAGGATCCAATCAAGATTGCAGGACAAAATTTTTTCAATTTATTATGGTGAGCTAATGTTAGGTGCAAATTTGATTGCTTGGTAAGAGTAAGTGCCTTTTGAACTATCTTAATTCTTTTTTCTATTATATCATACATTATGGTAATTATAGTAATTACTAAATACAAGTGACAGGATAACTTCCAAGTCCAAGTGTGTGTGTGTGTATATATATCGCCGAAGCCAAAGGAAACAGACAGTATAGCATAAGTTGTGTGTCTTACTGGAAATTCCAGTTTCTATATAGATTCTTAATTATTACCGCACACACTGTGGGCCATAAGACAATGATTCTGTGTGAGTGCATTCTCGTAAATAAGACGAGATCCGTGGGCGGAAGTATAAGTCGAGAATTGTGATAAATATTAGGAAACAAAAAAAATAACGAGGAAAACATAAAAAGCCGTAAAAGATAATTGTTTGCCCCAAACCAAAATCTTTTCATTATCAAATTCTCACCGTCGCTGCCCACACACACACACACACACAGAGAAAGGTGTCGGTCAAATTTCCTTGAGAAAAGTGTAGATACTCCAGCTGTCGCCGCCGTCCCAATGAGGAAAGAAGGAGCGCCGCCGCCATCTACTCTCAATCCCGTCGGCAAGCTCTTCCTCTGCTTCGAGACCAAGACATTCCTCACCGTCCTTTTTTCCCTTACCCTCGTCGCCGTCGTCTGGAACCTCCAGCCTTACTACGAGACCGTTTTTCTCTCCTCCACCGCCACCGCCACCACCACTCCCCCTTGTTCCTCCTCGGTCCCCGCCGCCACAGAATCTCTCCCCGTCAGATCCGCCGATGTAAACCCTCTAGCCGAGGAGAAGCTTGTCCGCAGCGCGTCAGCCAGCTCCCCTCCCCCGGCCATCGACCCCAG